ATAAGAACAACTGAGCTCGAATCTAATTTATAATCAGCTCTTGAAAAGTGTGACAATTCTCTTGGGGCCACTTCCTCAAGATCGCTTAATCCCATCAGTGTATGGGGCACCCGAAGACCGCACCACTGATGAATGAAGGAGAGACGAGGTCAATCCTTCTGTTCGCCCATCCCCAGCATGGATTGTCATTATTTCCCCCCTCGCCTCTAGTTCACCTCATGGTCATGGAGACCACTGATACCTGCTCTTGTCTCCACTGTGCAACTCTCACTTGTTCTCACAGTCCCAGGCTTGGATTTCTCCTCCCTCCTGACCTTCATCGTTATTTTAACCTCCCATCGTTTCTCCAGTGACAGTGCGTATCTTCAACATTGATTCCATATCCCTGTTCTCATTTCTCTTTCCCTAAGTGCTTTTTTTTTTTTTTTTTTTTTTTTTTTTTTTTGCGGTACGTGAGCCTCTCACTGTTATGGCCTCTCCCGTTGCGGAGCACAGGCTCCGGACACGCAGGCTCAGCAGCCATGGCTCACGGACCCAGCCGCTCCGCGGCATGTGGGATCCTCCCGGACCGGGGCACGAACCCGCGTCCCCTGCATCGGCAGGCGGACTCTCAACCACTGCGCCACCAGGGAAGCCCTCCCTGAGTGCTTTTGAGAGAGAAAATAATTGAGGTATGTCACTCAGAGATCACTATCTTCTGCTGACACTGAATATCTCCCAAAAGGGATGAATGGGTTAAATAATGCTTAGGCTAAAGACAGGAAGATGTGACCGAAGGTCAAATAGAGGAGAGAGAGAGGGTGGAGTTTGATCTGCAAAGTTGGATTGGTGGAGGCTGAGATAAAATTAATTATAATTATGCAAAAAGAAGGTGGTCATATGATGCTTACGAGCAAAGGAAATATAAGTCCCACTGCCTGCTCCAACCCTAGACCTCCTCATGTGATTTTCTCATGCCCACGTCAACCCCTTTTCCCTCTATACTCATCACCCTTACTTCTTTCCCTCATTTACAATCCATCAGCACATCCAAGCACCTCTACTTTAGAAATACACAGTAAGTGCACCCCCACTAGCACCCTGGTCCAAGCCAGCGTACTATCTTGCCGGGACTACTGCAATAACCTCTAAACTAGTCTCACTGGATTTACACCCTTGCTTCCCTGCTCTATTCTCAACCCAACAGCCGGAATGACCTTTGCAAAACAGAAATCCCATAATGTCATTCTTTTTTTTTTTTTTTTTTTGCGGTATGCGGGCCCCTCACTGCTGTGGCCTCTCCCGTCGTTGCGGAGCACAGCCTCCGGACGCGCAGGCTCAGCGGCCATGGCTCATGGGCCCAGCCGCTCCACGGCATGTGGGATCTTCCCGGACCGGGGCACGAACCCGTGTCCCCTGCATCGGCAGGCGGACTCTCAACCGCTGCGCCACCAGGGCAGCCCATAATGTCATTCTTTTGGTCCACTGGTACGTCTATAGTTCCCAAGAGTAAAATCCCAAGCACTAATGAAAGTTCCAAGGCATAAAATGAGCTGTCCTCTGATTCTTTCCTGATTGTCTCCTACTACTTCACTCCAACCCCACTGACCTCCTTGCTGTTCTCCAACATTCCTTGTAAGTTCCTACTTTACAGCCCTTTGCCAACACTATTCCCTCTGCTTAGAGAGGTGCCTCCCTAATACCCACACGGCTCTTTCTTTGAATTAGCTAAGCTGCAAGCTAAGCTACTCTCACAAAACACAGCCACTTAATTCAGAAGAGAATGTTAGTTCTCTCTGTGTAGAAGTGCAGGGATGGTAGCCGTCTCACTATGCGGTCTCCAAGGTCGTTCCAGTTGTCACCATTTCCCAGTTAGCGGGAAAAAGGCAAATGTCCTTAAAAAGATGACCCAGAAGTTGCACACATCACTTTTTCTCACATCCAATTGGCCCAAAATTAGTCCATGGCACACAGAGGTGCAAGGAAACCTGGGAAGTGAGTCAGTACAAATGTCAACCATTTGCTTAGCAAAACCTCTGATGTGCTATCACGGAAGACAACAAGGGTAAAGGATACTGGAGCGCTGTTAGCCTCTGTCATACCACTTCCCTTGATTCAGGACTCAAATATATCCTTATCAGAGAAACCTGCCCTTTTTATCCTTCTGAAACTATCCTCCCCCAGCCACTCTTTATCCCTTTACTCTACATTTTATTCTTTTTCAGCAAGTACGAGCAGTCGATACATTCCAGTTTTATTTGTTTATGCTTTCCCTCATCAGAATGAAACGCCAGACACCCTGAGGGCAGGGATTTTGCTTGGTTCACTGTTGTATTCCAGTGTCTAGAGCAGCGCTGGGCACATAGTAGCCATTTAAAAATATTTGTTGAATGAATAAATGAATAGCTGTTCAATCACATTTATAGTTCAATAAATATGCAACGGAGCACGGTGGAGACCGGGTTTTAACCTACTCTTGAAAGCTGAAGGAGCGCCAATGAAAGCTGCTAGCAATTTTATGTCTCACATTTCCTTTCATTGAAAATAATTAGTAGAACGGGCCATTGATATTTGTTTACAAATGTGAAGTGTATTAGCGTTCTCCAGAGAAACAGAACGAATGGGATATAGATATATAGAGGAGATTTATTACCAGAATTGGCTCTCAGGGTTACGGAAGATAAGAAGTCCCCCAGTCTCTCTGCCATTTGCAAGCTGGAGAACCAGGAAAACCACGGGTATGATTCAGCCTGAATCCAAAAGCCTGAGAATCCCGAGGCTGGTGGTGTATTTTCCGGTCTGAGTCTCAAAGCTGGGAACCAGGGGCACCGATGTCCAGCGTCCAAGGGCAGGAGAAGATGGATGCCTCAGCTCAAGCAGAGAGAGAGTGAATTCATGCTTCCTTGGACTTTCTGTTCTGTTCAGGTCCTCAGCAGATCGGACGATGCCCATCCACGCTGGTGAGGGCGGTCTTTACTCAGCCTGCCGATCCAAATGCTGACCTCTTCTGGAGACGCCCTCACAGACACACCCAGAAATCACGTTTGACAGCTATTTGGGCATCCTTAGCCCAGTCAAGTTGACATATAAAATCAACCACTACATGGAGCAAAAACACCACACATTGTTTTGGGGAAAATGTGGAACTATTGTTAAACTGAGGATATTGCAACTTGAGATGCTGAATGTTCTGTGTAGTAATAAAAACAGTGTACATTTCATGAGACTTGGTCGAGTTAAAGAAGAATATTAGGAAATCTGGCATTGAGATTGGACCGTCCTTGAAGTTTCTTATTGTTTCTTAAAGTTATCTGTGTGTCTTCAGGCCCAAATATGTACCCACAAGACGTTGTGAACCTGAGTCACACAGGGAGTGAGAAGCAGCCTGACCTTCCCTTCACCTTAAGCTGAAAGCTGAGGGAGGCCATGGGAAGTAGTGGACTGACGGACCAGGCCTCGCCAGGTTTGACCACTGGTGTCCTAACATATAATGAACCATCTGCGTGCCTCCTCTGGTCCGTGGAGGAAGCCTAAGCATGTGTGTGGGTTAAGCCTTCCTGAAGAAAGTGGACGTTCCCCCTGTGAGCCATCTTGGTGTGGGAGTGAGTTGGCCTAGGATGGAGGAGGGAAGGAACTTCTCTTCCTGAGACTAGACTGCACGGTAGGAAGATGCCTGGGCATGCTCTTTGGTGGGGGTTGGTCTGGCTCTTCCATGTGGAAGCCTGATAGAAGTTTCCATTAATACCCCATGCTCTGCAAGCTCCGAGGCTGATCTGGGCACACAACCGTGAGGTGTGCCCGTGCAGCAGCAGTGTCTGTTTATCCCCACCACAGCCCAGACTTTGCTTGGCCATGAGGACTAGAGCGAGCAACCCGAGCCCCTGCTCAGAGCGACAGGCACAGGGGAACCAGAGCAGCCTGGAGAAGTTAGACGCAGTCTGGACTAGAAGATTCGTGGCGGTCCAGAGAGCCAGGATTCAACAGGTTACACACCTTCCTCTAGGATGTGCAGAAACCAATTGAGAGGTGACTTCAGAAGGAAAACGGGCTTCCTGCAGTCCATGAGTAGGGCTCCATTGCAATTTGGATATTAAAGGAAGAATGTTCTTGTTTTTCTGGCTGGTGAGATATGGGGACATATCAATTACATCTAATTGGGAATACTGAGAGAAGGATTTATAGTTCTTGTTTCTGACATCCCAGAGTGTTTCTAATTGTCCCAAGGAGCATCACAGCTGTCCCAAATATTTCTCAGAAAAGAATTATTCTAAAATATAATGTCATACTGCCTATTAGGAGAAAGGAGACTGACAAGCAAACTAGAGTGTACAACCTGCCCCATGAGAAACAAATGAGCCTTCCTTAGACACGGCTTTCATCATTGGATCCTTCTGCCTCCACACAGCTAATGGCTCCCGGCTTCCTCTACCGTTAAGCTGACATCTTACCGCTTATTCTCTCTTTGCAAGGGAGCCCTTCTTAACTGCTAAACTTATTCCCATCATGAGCTTTCCCTTCCATCCCAGGAGTTTGACGGACTCCCTGCCTATGGCCCGTTTTGGTCGTCTTGGCCCTAACCTTGCCCATTTTGTTCTCGCCACCAGAGCCATTTACCCCTTGGTTTGGGCCCTGTCTCGAATTGTGTGCTAAATGTTCTGCAGCTATTTGTTCTGATTCTTCAACGAGATGAAAAGCATCTCTGGGGAAAGGTAGTATTTCTTATTCCTTTTATGTTCCTTGCTGCGTCTAGTGCCATTCAGGCACCTTACATGGCTCAATGAACACACTTAATTCAATCTTGAAGAAGTTAGGAATCACTGATCTATAACTAGTTCTTATAACTAAGTGCCCTTCCTCCTGAGACACATGAAGAAGGGTTAGTGTTTCTTTCTTTTTTTTTTTTTTTTTGCGGTACGCGGGCCTCTCACTGTGGTGGCCTCTCCCGTTGCGGAGCACAGGCTTGGGACGCGCAGGCTCAGCGGCCATGGCTCACGGGCCCAGCCGCTCCGCGGCATGTGGGATCCTCCCGGACCGGGGCACGAACCCGTGTCCCCTGCATCGGCAGGCGGACTCTCAAGCACTGCGCCACCTGGGAAGCCCGGGTTAGTGTTTCTTAATGCCACTGAAACAACTGGCCACAAACTTGGTGGCTTCAGACAACAGAGATTTATTCTCTCACGGTTCTAGAGGCCAGAAGTCCAAAATAAGTTTCACTGGGCCAAAGTCAAAGTGTCAGCAGAGCCACTCCACTGGAGGTTCTGGGAAGACTCCATTCCTTGCTGCTTCCAGCTTCTGGTGGCTGCCAGCACTCCCTGGTTGTGGCCACATCACTTCAGTCTCTGCCTCCATGGTCACGTGATCTTCTCTTCTGCATGTCAAATCTCTCTGTCTCTCCTTTATAAGGACACTTGTGTTTGCATTTGGGGTCCTCCTGGATAATGCAGGATAATTTCTCCATGTCAAACTCCTTAATTTAATTATATCTGCAAAGATCCTTTTTCTGTTTAAGGCTACATTTACAGGTTCCAGGGACTAGAATGTGCTACCATTAGGGGCCACTATTCAGCCTACTATAAGTTATCATTTAAACAATATTCTTAAAATTTGATTATGGAAAAAGATGATGTCAAACTAGAAGGAAACAAAAAGTTCTCAATAAAGCAATGACCACTCTACACACATACACATACACACCCACATGCATGTACCCACACATACATGAGTTTGTATGTTAGCAAAAGTATTTCCTACACCATCTTCAGCTTCACTATGGACCACTGTCTTATTTATTTTTAAAAAGACAGAATTAAAACACATGTCAGGCATTTAATTGAGACTGCCAACATGACAAAAAGAAAGATTGGGTTCTATGTACAAAGAGATTTGTTTATAACTAAAGTATTTTAAAAATTCAATAAAAATGGCATCTAAGGTTAATATAGGTTAAAGAACTATTTGGACAGGTAGCCTGAGATAAGACATAATTGAATTTGCAAATGTTTCTATCAAGCGATGTTCTTTTTTTTTTTTTTTTTTTTTGCGGTATGCGGGCCTCTCACTGTTGTGGCCTCTCCCTTTGCGGAGCACAGGCTCCGGACACGCAGGCTCAGCGGCCATGGCTCATGGGCCCAGCCGCTCCGCGGCATGTGGGATCTTCCCGGACTGGGGCACGAACCTGTGTCCCCTGCATCGGCAGGCGGACTCTCAACCACTGCCCCACCAGGGAAGCCCTCAAGCGATGTTTTTACTCCACTATTTCCTTCCAAATTCCATGGGTTTAATAAATGATATGAGATACAATTATAATACTCAACATTTGTATAACAATTTATAGTTCACAAAGCTCTTGACGTACCTAATCTAATTCGATTCTCACCACAAGATGGTGAAATATGCAGAATGAGTATTATTTTTTCCAATTTTCAGATGAACAAAGAGATTCAGAGAGAGTAAATGACCTGCTCAAGAAAATGTGGCAAGTAATCATCAGACGTGAACCATGACCCAGGTTTCCTACTCTTGAGTCAATATATCTTCAAGTACACTAGTATTAAATTCAAGATAAAAATGATAGTAATGAAAAAGAAAAGTGGGCAAAACACATGAAAAGGCATTTCATTCGGCTGCAAATCATAAAAGACTCAAACCTCATTCGTGATCATGGAAATGCAAAACAGACAACCAAGAGATGAAAACACTAAATGTTGGAGAAAATGGACCAAACAATTCTTCATCCATGGCTGATGGGAAAGTAAATTTATACAACGCTCTTTGAAAACAGTTTGGCAGTGCCTTATAAGTTGACCATCATATTCCCTACAACCTAGCAACTCTTTTTCTAGGCATATCCAAGGTGAACTTTTGTACATGTGCACATAGAGAGATTCACAAGCATGTCTAAGCAATGTAGTTTTTAATAGCAAAAACTGGAGGAAAAAAACCCCTCAAATGTCCATCATCAAGAAATGGGTAAATAAATTGTAATATAGCCATGATATGGAATAACAAATTATAGTTATATGATGTTATATGAATGAATTTTAGCAATGCAGTTTTCAGTGAAAATAAGAAGTCTTGGAAGATTTCAACCATAATAATAGCCATTTTATAAAGTTTAAAATAAACCCAGACTAAGCAATCTTTTTGAATGACAGTAAGGAATTTAATCATTAACTGAGAAATGCATAAATTGACATCTGAGGGAGAGTTCCTGGCTGATGAGCTGTTTGTTCTGCTGGAACCCTGGCAGCTACTCACTCTACCAATCTGCCTCTTCTGTCTTTGTCTGGGTCTACCTCTAAACTGGCCCCCAACTTAAGCCAAATCTGGGGATATTCCTGACATACAAAAGAACTGGCAGCAAGACCAGCAGTCTGGTTTTTATTTTGGTTCTGTAGCTTCGTTTAATGAGCATATCTTGGAACCTAGTTCTCAGTCGATCAGATGGTAATAGTTATGATCCAAAAATATGCATAACACATTGTGTCAGGTACTATGGGGAACCTCAGAAAAGCACCCATCATTCACATACTTATCCATCCATCCATTTATTCATTTAATATTGACTGCTTATGTGCTATGACCAGGCAGTGGAATCTAAGTTGAACAAGATAATGTTGCTACTATTAAGACACTCACACAGTCCAATGAAGGAGAGAGACATATTAACAGATCAGTAAAAGAAGATGCGGTAAGTCCAACACTGGAGTCATAGGCAGGGGTCAGGAAAGCATGCCCAGAAGAACATCTGAAATGCATCTTTTAGAACAAGTGGAGTCAGCAGAGGGAAGAAAAAGAGAGGTGGGGCAGAGGGCACATGAACAAACGCCCAGATCTGAGATACAGCATGGTGTGCCTTAGCTGTGTCTCTGCATCGTCAGGATCGATACCTCTGAAACCTTGAATCCCATCTTTCACTGGCTTCCACTGCAGGCTCCAAGCAAGAACCACAGACACAGAGCACAGACGGGGCAAGCGCACTTTATCAGTAGCGGAGGCTACTCTGTTATTTGAAGGTGATGAACTCTGCAGGACTATGAGTTTGCAGCCCTGCTTTACGTGGAGGGAAGAGAAGGAAGGATCTGGCTCCTTGTACTCCACCAGCCCCAGAGTGAGCGGGTGCCTCAAGAATGTCAACAACCGTCCAAAGGAAGAGTCAAAGCTAAGAGGGAGACCCAGAAAGACCCTTCAGGAGGAAGCACAAAGGTTTAATATCTGACATTTTTGAGCCTCTCCTGGAAAGTTTCAGCCTCCAACCCAGCACCACAGTTGTTTACCCTGGACCCTTCTCAGCATTCCTTTCTCTTTCCTGGCGTGGTGAGGTTGCAGATGACCATCAGAGTTCCCATACTCAGCAGTTTCAAGCCAGCCTGATTTGTCCATCTCTCCCTCCCTTAGGATGAGTCCTTTCCCAAGAGAAGTTGTAATCCCTTGTGTAAACAGGTTTCCTAGGCAGACCCGCCTTTCCAGTCTGACGAATGCAAACAAGCCATGTCTAACTCCAAGCAGGGGCTCATACTAAAGTCCTCGCTTACACTAGCTTTGGTGATAAGGTGGCTGCAGATGCTTCCAAACTAGAGATCAAGAGGAGAAGCGGATCTGGAGATGAGACTGAGGATTCGGTGTTAGAAATGTCGATTTTTGAGGCTGTTTATAGAATGCAAAGGAAAGATGACCAACGGACATTTTGGATATTTAAGCCTGAAATTCAAAAGAAATGTCAGGGCGGAAGATATAATTTGGGAATCCTCAGCTTACATGGGTAACTAAGATATAAAGTGGATGCAATTCCTCAGAGAGAGTATGTAGAATGAGAAGAGATGGAGACCAGCAAGAAACCCTGCGGAATAGCGACACGCAGGGATGTTCACAGAAAGGATGTCTGCGAAGGAAGCAAAAAGGATGGTCAGAAAGGAGAGCCAGGAGGGTGCCCAGTCACTGAAGCCCATGAGTGGACCCTTCAGTGAATCCTGGGAAAGAACTCGTCAGTTTATTCATTCAACAAATACTTATTGAGCACAGACTCCATACCAGGCACTGTTCCAGATGCTCCGGATACAGTAGAGAACAAAACAACAAAAATCCCTGCCCAGATGAGATTTATGCTCTGATGTCAGTGCAGCAAAGAGGTCCAGATAGATAAAGGATAGAGTCCATTGGATTGAAAATTAGATTGGCTTTGGTAAACAATGAGAGCCTTCCAATAGCAATAAGCTCAGAAGACAGATTGCGACGCCCTGAGAGCAAACCTAAGGTGAAGGAGTAGAGATAGTGGGTGTAAACTATTCTTTTGAGAAGTTGTATAAAAAGGAAGGAGCCATGGGGCACTTGATAGAGGTAGCACAAGTTCAAATGAATGTTTTCCTTTGCCTGATAGATCCTTGCATGCATTCTTGCAAGTATTTGTAGGCTAGCCACCCGGGAAAAGGAGCCTGGAAATGTAAGGAATTGAAGATTTGAAGAGATGATAGGTGATGGAGCCCAGTTCTGAAGCAGGCAGGAGGGGAGACTCCTGTAGTCACTGCAGAGAGTCTTGCAAATTAAGGACAGCTTGGGTATGCATTTAGGAGCGAGCTTTTCTTTCACTATCCTTTTTTTTAGTGACCACTAAAATAGCATCCAAATTCAAAAGCGGCATAGGGTAGCATATATGTCTCACGGAGCGTGTTATATAACAGGGAGCAAGAGATGCCTATTCTTTCCTCCTCCTGTACCCCTTTTGCACTCTCACTCTGGTCTTCCCCCACTCCCCAAAATGTACTCATATGTGACTACATATAGGTACAAACAGGACCCAGATTGGCCTTCCTAGCCTGTTCAGAGTCCTGCTGCCACAGCTGTCCACCTAATCAGGTCCTTACCTAGGAGCACTAAAGTGCAAAATTTGCCAGGCAGCAGCGGCGCTTGGGGCTCTGCAGGGTCCCAGTGTGTGGCTGCGGGGACCAGGCAGCACCTGGCCGCCACTGAGAGCAGAAAGAGAGGCATCTTTCTGGGTTCCCCAGCTGGCAGTGTGGAGCACTGACCTGGGCTGCTCACGGACAGACACAGGACCGTCCCCAGCCCCTAGGATCCTTCCCGAAAGCAGAGCTTTCAGGCTGAGTGGGCAGATTTAGAAAGAACAGAGAGAAGGCTGCACACTGATCCTTCACCCCAGCTCCTCTGCCAGCTCCCCCTCACAGCCCCACTGCATCGAAGACAGGAGTGATTTTAAAGAACCACTCTGATGTGAGTTCATCCTAACTGAGGGCAGACCCAGCAGGGGGGCCATCCCGAGGTCCTCTCTGCTTTGGCTCAAGGGACAGTGACGGTGCGGAGGACGCTGCCTTGCCTGGCTTCCGTGGGAGCAACTAACCATTGACCCAGGTGATTTCAGTGCATCAGACATGCTTCTTGAGTTCTCCAGGACACACCTAAGCAGTTCTTTCCTTCCTG